AAGGTTGCAACATTTTAGTTGAAGATTGCATAGCAATTAACCGGTGTGTTACAACTTTAGCGTGCTTTAGGGGAGCTTTTGGCGACTTCGAGACTATATAGACGAGGGTAACGTATCAGGAATTAAAAAAAATAATAAACCTCACGCTCGCTTATCGTTTTGGAGGCGTGCCCGTCCCAAAAAACCTGTTTTCCTGTCATCATTACTAGTTTATTGAGCAATATACAGGATTTGTTCAAAGGGCATCTTATAGCAAAATACACTAGCTTACCTTGCCGATATGAATCGCAAATTATTCCGGAAGATAAATGTTAGTTTTATGCAAAAAAGTATGGGTTACGTTTTTTCGTCTAAGCAAATTCAAAAATTTCGTATTTGTGAGTAATTCACAACAAAAGATGATAGACTCATCTGCTTTGTTCTAAAATGTGTATAGTAACGCATGTTTTTAATATCGTAGCGCATTTGTTCATTTACTCACAAATACGGAATGTTGGAATTTGTTTAGAAGAAAAAACGCTACCTGTGTGTTATCAATTTATAAAAATTCAGATTTGCTTGAAAGCAAAAAGCCACCAGCCTTTACTTGCACGTGCATGTGAGATTATTGGAAACGCCTTAACTATTTGGAAAACATCACTACGCCTTAAATCTCATGTATTTCCATTTAATATCAGTCCAAGCATTTTTTGTGAAGTTTCGCAAAGGTGAACCGGTACATCGCAATCCAAACAATGAGTTTTTTCACCGTCATTGATTGATATCTAGAACCGGGTACCTACAGAGTCATTTCGGACGTCATGACAGCAATTTCCCAATATTCATTTTCTAAGTGTTGCGCAATGATTTCGGCAAAAGTTTCACTGTGGATAATCTTTTTGGGCCTAGTAGAGGATATTTCAATAGTTGTCTTGCGTGGCCACTCGGACCCTGAAATGTATACCACAATTAACTACTCTACATGTATCTATGGTTGCCTGATAGACGTAAGACGAAACTTGAATGCGGCCTTTAAAAACTTCAATTTTCATGGAATACAGACATTGAAATTGTATGTTGGAAGTTAATTGAAGTAGATATAGTTCATAACAAAATATATTTTTAGCTGTATCTGTACTAAATCATCGAATTCCGAATATTAGTATCTAGAAACTTTGCGCTGTGCTTTGCGGCTTCCTTGAGCTCTTGAGCATTGATTTACGTATTCTACCAGATTGAATACGGCAATCGTTAATCAATATCTCAAGTGGTTTGTCAAAAACCCTTGCGTGAATAAGGGCTATAGTTTTTTAAAGCGGATTATTATTGTTAATTTTGTTGTTTTCAAATTTGTACTCTCCACATGGTAACGTCTCAAACGTAGTAGGTACTTGGGCTGAGTGTTAGTTTTCTATCTATGCCCTTGAGGCATGGGCGGAGTGGAGGTACGAGGGACTTACGAAAAAGTAAACGTTTAAATTGAAACATTTTTATTGAATACATTGCATCGAAGCCTTAACGTTACAAATCATCTCCACTATCAAAGCACTTATAGGTTCATCGTTACTGATGGGTTCTCTTTTGGTCTCTTCGGAAGACCCTGTTGCTGAAAGTGATGGTGCAATCTTGTACTCTCATGATTTTTTTTTTCAACACACAAGCGGTTTCGATTGGCCAGAGAGCTATGGGGGATTATGATAGGTAATATCATGAGTGCATCTAATTTTTCTGAAAAAAATCGTAAAAACACGTCGCTAAGTAATATTCTACAAGAAACTAGTGGCAACAAAGATCAGAGTTGAAGACGAAGATTTTTGCAACTGCACGAATGTTTTTTGTTAAAAAAATAATACTTCACATTGTGTTTTTTCGATTTTTTTCACATTAGATGCCCGAATAGTATTTGACAAGACTACTTCATGACTAATAGATTATTCTGCATACCTACACATAACTTACAAAACATACTACCATTGTTTAGCGTCATTTTCTGGTGTCCTAGAGAAAAAGATAAAAATGCTCATATTTTAGTTTGTGATACAATTTGCATTCATAAATAAAATTTCTCTGATTACAAAACGGTTCTTACTTAAAAAATAGCCTCGTATAAACCGTTACTTTAATGCTACTTTTTTTTAGGTTAATAACCGTGGCATGCTGGCGATTTTCGAGAGAATTGTGGAACGACTTGATTTTTCTTCACCTGATACAATTGATCTTAGCAGTGACGGTTGAGGTTTTCTAGGGGTTTTCCTCGCCCGAGTGCGAAAGCAGTCACTAAAAAACCACGTTCCCCTAATGAATAGTAGATAAAATGAAAATTGTACTTATTCTATTAATAATCATGTAATTTTAGGTCAAATAGTCATTAAATGTATTCATATAATAAAATTGTTTATTTTTCACTTGATGAGAGAAGTCCCGTATGCATAGGCAAAAAAGTATTTTATCCTATACAAAACTATACAGGGTGACTTTGAAGTTGAGTCATTAATTTTCAGATAATGATTGTAGAAGGAAGATAAACCAAAATATGTGTGTAAAAATAAAAAAAAATTAAAAAAAAAATGTTACCTTGTTTTATAAAGTATCCTCCCGACAAGTATTTCAGTGCGGACCTGTGCGCCCAAAAGCATGTCACAAAAACTGTTCGAAATGATTTCCGTTTTGCTCGACGCACAGCTGGGCGCGTCTTAGCCATGTCTCTTTACAAGCACGCAATAAAATCACTGGTTGATTTCTGATCACTGTACTCATTTCCTCAATTCGAGCACGTAATTCTTCGCGTGTATTAACCGGTGTTTTATACACTAGAGTTTTTAGCCAACCCCACGAACAAAAGTCTAAAGGATTTAAGTCCGGAGACCTTGGCGGCCAAGGTACAAAACCGCCACGGCCGATCCAACGATTATTAAATTGTCTATTTAAAAATTCACGCACATTTCTTGCATAATGGGGTGGTGCCCCATCTTGTAAAAACCACATGTTTTGTCTAATATTTAAAGGCACATCTTCCAGTAAACCAGGCAAATTGTGTTGCAAGAAATCAAAATAATTTTCACCAGTTAAGCGATTTGGTAATTCAAAAGGCCCCACTAAAATTCCATTAACAATTCCCGCCCACAGGTTGATTGGTTCAAATCGCTGTTGAAAATTGGTTTCCCTTATTTCATGGGGATTTTCAATAGCCCAAACGTGAGAATTACGTGAATTAATAATTCCGTTTCTAGTAAAGAGGGCTTCATCACTCACTAAAATTTGATTTAAAAAATTGTCATCATTTTGATGTTTATTTAAAAGCCAATTGCAAAAGTCAACCCTTTGTTCATGATCTTCCGGTTGTAAGGCCTGCACTTTTTGTATGTGAAACGGATAGAACTGATTTTCACGTAGAGTTTTCCAAGTTTTATACTGACTAATCGCCAATTAAGTTGAAATTTGTCGGGTGCTTACTGTTGGATCATCACTTACTAATTCTAAAATTTGTTCTTCTAGTTCTATTTGATCGTGTGGTCTTGGAGCACCGGCATGATCTCCTGTGAGGTCTTAAGTCACCTGATTCACGAGCTCTTTGCACTACATTAACAAAGGCACGAGGGGTTGGTTGCACTCGATTGGGAAACCGATCCGCATAGATCCGTGATGCCGCGGCAGCATTTTGTAAAGACTCCCCGTAAATAAGAACCATGTCCACAAGTTCAGCATTTTCGTAAACATGTGCCATTTTTGATTTGAGCCTCGCAACAGACACGATTATTCACTTACGCGTTACCGACTACCGACTGATACTGACTGTATACAACTGAAGAAAATAATTGTAAAAAGATCGTTCCAAATTCTTTCGCTTTTTTGTTTCCGATGCGATGAACGGATAAGGCGGATTATATCTGTTGTTGCCAAACACGAGAACATAATATCATTATTGAGACAGGGCGGTACTCAAACTTCCAAAGGGCTATAACTTTGTTACTTTAATTTTACCAGAAAAATGGTAAAGGAAAAAAACATTTCTTTTGATCAGATCTACTCACTGTTAAAATAAATGACTCAACTTCGAAGTCACCCTGTATAGTATAAAACTGGGAATTTACAAGTTATAAATCATAACGTTCTGTCGCATAGAAGCCGGTTCTGCTCGGCAAACTCGGCATGCGAATTCATAGCTCAGGTTCACAAAAAATTCATTCAGCGATAGAATTGGACTAGCAGAAGATTTCGATACTTGTCATTACTCAACGAATAAAAACACTTTGAACTTGTAAAACTGTCTAGTATTTGCAAGTAATTTGGTCACTACGCTGTGGCAACACTGTCGATGAACTAAGGCTATGTGGGGCTACGTGAGTCAGTATCCATAATATACGATCCATAAACGATAATTCCACGACCTGGCATGACAGGCCATATCTCAGATTGGGCTAAAGAACTATGAGGCTTTGCGAAATTTCAGGGTCCTAGGTCGTACGGTTCAGTCTGGAAGTGTTCAAATTTTGAAGGTTTAGCAAAAATGTGAATTTTGAAGTCTTGGCAACTTTTCCATTTTCTCGCTATTCATGTCATTCGAAAGCATTATTCCCTGCCATATGTGACTAATCCGAAGTAACATTGTCCAAAATTGACTTCAAATTGTGATCTGAAAATTCGTTCGGCACATTTGAGTCAAAAATATTTTCCAAATTTTTCATTATTCTCTTGGGCTAACAATTCGAATGCCTTCCGAAACAAAAAATCCACCGCTAAGAAAATCTCTCTCAGCGTGACGTCATGCGCGCCGACGGAGGAAAATCAAACAGCGGAACACCCGGCACCGGATGGCCATATTCTAATATGTTAAGCCCCGCCTCTTTTCCTTCTTGAATTACAACCGAAAAGTCAGGCTAGTTTCCACAGGGTCAAGTTTCGCTTGCTAGCTAGGAAGGCGGGCGCGGCCATAGTAGAAATGAGTTTCACGTGACTTACTGTCGATTTGTTGATTGACCGATACCTCTCAGCTTCATTCGGACGTTTGACATTTGCTAATTCTCAAAATTGTCGGTCCGTCAACTGTCAACCATCTTTTATGCAAAAACATCAATTTGGGCTTACACGTGCTTTGACTTCTCCTTGAAAGAAAATCGTAAAAAATGGACAAACCAGTAGTCACTGCCCGAGTTATCAAAGTTTTGGGACGGACCGGCTCCCAGGGACAATGTACTCAGGTCAAAGTGGAGTTCATCGGCACTCAGAACCGTCAGATCATCCGTAACGTCAAGGGGCCCGTAAGAGAAGGTGATATCCTCACACTGCTGGAGTCCGAACGTGAAGCTAGGAGGCTGCGGTAGATCCATTCTGGTGAGCTAATTTAACTTTTGATAAAGACTAGCCTTAACTTGGGTTTATATGTTTGATGAATGTATAGGGCTGCAGTCACGCCATTATGGCTGAAGGTGCCAAGACCCTTCTATCTAGTTTCATGAAGTGACTATCTAAAGGGTGGTCCATTTAAATTTTTTTTTTAAAAATGCTATAAAAAAAAAACTACTAAATATTTTTCCAAATTTTTTTTTTTATTTGAAAGTACAATCCTTCCGATTAAGTATGGAATACAACATCATTTAAATGACTGCCGCGGCTGGCTTTGCAGTAGCCCATACGGTCAGTCCAATTTTTGACCACATTTTCAATCGTATGTGGCTGTATTTCAGCAATGGCAGCACGTATGTTCTCTTTTATTTCGCCAATTGTTGCTGGTTTGTTGGCATAACATTGGTCTTTAATGGCACCCCATAAATAATAATCTAATGGGGTCAAATCACAGCTCCGAGGCGGCCAAACAACATCAGAATTTCGGCTGATAATGCGATCACCGAAAACACTTTGCAGAAGAGCAATCGTAGCGTTTGCTGTATGACACGGAGCACCGTCTTGTTGAAACCAGATGTTACCGACATCAATATCTTGAATTTGTGGAAAGAAAAATTCATTTATCATGGTACGGTAACGCTCACCATTCACAGTAACTGCTGCTCCGGCTTCATTTTCAAAGAAAAATGGGCCAATGATGCCACCAGCCCAAAATCCGCACCAAATAGTCACTCGTTCTGGATGCATTGGCTTTTCTTCGATTGCGTGTGGGTTCTCTGAACCCCAAATGCGGCAGTTTTGCTTATTAACATAGCCGCCAAGATAAAAATGCGCTTCATCTGAAAAGATGATTTTTCGACCAAAATCAACATCTTCAAGTTGATTGCAGGCCCATGAAGCGAAGCGAAAACGCATTGGATGGTCAGTTGGCTTCAATTGCTGAACCAATTGAACTTTGTACGCCTTCATACCAAGGTCTTTATGCAAAATTCGACCTAATGATGTGCGTGAAATGTTCAATTGTTGAGAACGTTGGCGCGTTGATGTGCTCGGAGACTCTGCCACACTCTCAGCTACAGCATCGATATTCTCGGGTGTACGCACCGTTTTCGGTGTTTCACGTGTTGGTTTGTCAATAAGAAGACCAGTTTCACGAACTTCTTGCACAAAATACCTCACATACGGTGCTGACGGTGCTTCATTTCTTCCCATTTTTGCACGTAATTTTCGGACACAATCTGCAACATTACCACCACTTTCGAAATATTGTTTTAACATTTCCCAGCGTTGTTTAAGCGAATACACAACCATTTTCGTTAATCAGAATGATATGACTGATGTTCTGTCAAATCAGATGCGAAATAAGTCTTGACATATCCCAAAAAACCAGTAACTCAAAAAAAAAAACGATAGATGGACCACCCGGTATATGCTTAGGGCCAATGTTACAATTCTCAGTGAATAAGCTGACAGTGTATATGTGATGTTTGGATTACTGGTACTTTGTTAAATTTGGATTAGTCTAGTAGCTTAATAATCATTTACAATTGCACTTGTTTCCCAGTTTATCTGTTTTTTAATGATACATCATACAATTGAGATTAAGAGGGATTTTTTAAATATGTGGTTTGATTACATTCTCTACTGAAACTTATCCTATGGTTTTCAAGTTCATAGCACTCAACTGTCTGGTTGAATCAAACCACATATTATATTTAAATGCCTGTTTATTGAAACGGGATACTGTGGGGGTCAAAACTTGCAATAAATAGGCATTGAAACATATACTAAGTGACATATAAATCTGAACACCCAGTTTAAATAGTTTTATTTTAATAAAATTTTGTATAAGTACTTAATGAAGCATAATAAGTAAATGATAAAAATTTCAAAATGATTGCACTGCTTTAAAGCCCTTTGACCTTTAATAATGTGTGGATGCACCCTGATGTGCTACGCATTCTCCAACGCCCCTAGGCATGCTTCTGATCAGGTGGTCAATGTCCTCCTGTGGTATCTCATTCCAGGCAACCACCAACTCCTCTCGAAGTGCTTCTAGATTCTGAGGAGGACATTGCAAACTGAGCAATCTCCTACCCATCATATCCCACACATGCTCAACTGGGGATAAGTCGAGAGATCTTGGTGGCCATGGTAACAATGTGACATCATTATGTTGAAAGAAGTCTATTGTGACTCTTGCAACATGTGGTCAGGCATTATCTTGTTGGAAAGTTGGATCTGCCAGGGTGTCAAGATAGCGTAAAATATGGGGTTCTAGAATTTCGTGGATATAACGCTGCGCGTTCATGTTACCTCTGATGAAGATTAAAAGTGACCTGGAACCATAAGCTATAGCACCCCAAACCATAACTCCAACAGTGTGATGAACATGTCTTTCAACAAAAAACTATGGATTCCTCCTTTCACCATGTCGCCTTCTAACCCTGGCACGACCATCGTGCATGCCTAAACAAAATCGAGACCCATCACTAAAGACAATACTGTTCCATTCCTGATCCCAGAGTGACCGTTTTTTGCACGACTCAAGGCGATTACGTCGGTGTTCTCGAGTTAAAGGGAGGACCCAGTGTGGCCGGTATGAAAACAAGCCAAAACTTCTCATTCGTCGGTAAACACTTCGCACGCCAATATGTCTTCCGTGTTCTGCAAACCATTCAATTGCAATGGACCTGGTATTGGAGAAACGGTCTCTTAAGGCCAATAATCTTAGGCGGCGATCTTCACGGTCTGTTGTTCTACGGCGGCGTCCAGTGCCCCTTGCTCTTTGCGTACGGCCTTCTCGAAGCCATGCCTGACAACACCTAACCACAGTGTCTACACTTCTTTGCACTCTAACTGCAATTGCCCGAAAAGAAAGTCCAGCTTCCCGAAGTCCCACTATACGGTCCCTATCAAACTCACTAAGTTGACGAAATCGTACATGTCTCCGTACTCTAGGCATCGTAACCGATCGTAAAGGATGTCAAGAACCAAAATCCGCCAACGTTGATTCTTTACTGCGGCTGAAATATTCATTTTTAGAGCGTTAGTGAATTAAAAAAAAGCAGTATGAAAACCGGAATGTGCAACTGATAAGGCTGAAAATTTTTTCACTTGTTATTTACAGTAAGATAAATACATTCACCAACTTTTATTAAAATAAAACCATTTAAACTGGGTGTTGGGATTTATATGTCACTTAGTATATTTGTGTAGTTTGAATCAGCTAGACATGGAGTCCCTTTTATTTAATACCAAATATCAGTTAATATAGTCCTAATTGCTATTTTTTTTTTGTTACAGGCTACCAACGGGGTACATTTCTATTCCTGGAGTAAACTACAGTTTGAATGTTTTATAATGCTTAAGTGATAAATAAAATAAATACATAGGATATGCTTTTGTATTATTTTAAATAAAACTAAAATGCAGGTTAATAAAAGTTTATTTCATAAAAAGTATAAAAAATGGACGGACTATGAGATTCCTAATAGACACATTCATCGAGATTTGATATGCACTACTTATGTTGCTTATCTAAAAACAATAATATAAAAAGTCAATATCTAAAAAACATGAAACTGAAAACTTAACAGTAGATAGACACATTTTTGTAAAATAAAATAAGTTTTCAATTTGATATTCCAATTACACATTTGAATGGTATTGATAGCCGTACTGGTGATAAATCGATATGATTAATACAAATATAAATTTTGTATATTTTATAATGATAATTATGATTGGCAACTAAATAGTTTCTAATTATAGTTACTTGTCCAGTAACAAAATAAAGATAAAAGACCATGCAAGTTGAATTTGTCCAATACTTATTAATAAAAATCAGATAAGTTAATTAGAGTGCATATGAGTAGGTATGCTTATAAAAATATTTCAGATCTCGAGTTGGATTGTTTTTCCAAAAATTGTAAAATATAAATTCAACACTTGGCACCAAATGTTGAATATAATTAATAATTTTCATTGATTCATCTTTGAGTCTAGATTAGAATTCAAGGCATAATTCAGTCAAGCAGCTGAGTAGCTTATGGGGCCCTCGTAACCTTCATGCTGCCACTCCCTGTCTGGTAGAGCAGTGTGACGTAGCTTACACCACTTGTTCCCAAAACGCAAAATAAGCATAATAACCACTACAATCAGCATAAGTGTTAGGCAAGCAGTGGCTGGCCAATATACATGAAACATCTTGTTTAGATTGCACTCTCGCGCTTCTCTCTCAATTCATACGTCTCTTCAGGAGGTGCTGAAGGCCCTGTGGGGTGGTGATACACCACTGGATGTTGGTGTTGGTAGATTATCTTTTGTTCAGGGACTATGGAAACGTCCTGCAGCTCAGTGTAGTCCAGAGGAGGTTGTTGATGTGGGGTTGCTGTCCACAAAGACACTATCCAACGATTACCTAGGAAGTAAAATTATTTTTGATTCAACATATGGCACTGGACTTGAAAATATAAGACTTACATTCTAATATGATTCTACATATACCAATTAGAGGCCTCCTTTGTGCATGCTATACGAGCCCCTTCCCACTTCAGTTGGGCCACTTCAAGATTTGTACCAAAATATGCTTTTATAAACTAAACATGACAAAACTATTTACTATTAAAACAATTTATTTTCTCAAAAACATTTTAGATACACTAGTCGTGAAAATACATATTTGAAATCACTTAGACCTATAACTAATAAAACATCTGAACAAATAAACAATGTGCGAATAAATGCGTGAAGTTAACAATGCAACAATTGAAAGATTACCATAGGGTAACATCACCTTTATTTTTTATTACGGCTGAAATTCTTTGGGGCATAGTGTTAACCAAGTTTTGGCAATAATTTGGTGTAAAACAATATTTCTCACACTGTACTGTGATAAGTCTAACAAAGTTGCAATTTCTGAGTTTGATTTCCCAGAATTAAAAAATTTAATTATCAATAACCGAATTTTCTCACTAATAAAACGTATTCTGACAGCTGTGATTAATAAAAACAATTGTCATGGCTTTTATTTTTCACAGCCACCTATATGCTATAGACTTTGCATTGAAATGAAAATAGGTTGATATGCTGTAATTGCAACATGTGTTATTTTTATGCTGCAAATTTGATTAGGGAGTGATAAAGTTGGTGTTTTCTACTATATATTATCAAAATATTCATTGTTAATATTTTAAACCTACAACACCCTGCTACATTTTTATTATTTGTGTTTGATAAGAAAAAAATTTCAATAGTTGGGCCAACTGAAGTGGGAAGGGGCTCGTGCTAGAACAGCACTGCTTACTTTTAAATAATAGAAACATTAATATTCAGTGCAAAATATACAGTTTGCTGATGTTAAGAGTACAAGTTGTATTGTAAGAAATAATAGTTATTTCCCTTACCTGTATGCCTATCGTTCCAATACTCTGAGTATCTCGAACAGCAGCCCAAAAAGATGTTGATCAGAAAGATGGTGAGCCCAACAAGTGTGCAGATTGTAATAGCAATGTAGAAAGGTGAAAAATCGGTGTATTCGTGCTTTTTGAAATAAGGACTTTTCAAATATGCCTCTCTCTCATCTAGTACGCTAGACATTGCAGGTCACTGGTGGTTATACATCTGAAATCGGAAAAAACGTTTGAAGAGGGTGTGGTATTCGTTAATCAAGAACAGGCAAGACGTTAATAGATTGAAATTAACGGTCAAATTTTCGACTTACCTACAAGCTTATCACGTAAACGCTTACACAAACGTATTTAAATGTCTGTGAATGTGTGAATATCTTAAAAGGAATAATAAGTGGCATCAATAATTTATCAACAAATATCAACTATCAACAATCAACACAAACAACGCCCTGTACTGCCTGTCCTGTACCCCTGTATGTATCATAGTATCATTCACGTCATCGATTTTGCTACCGGCAACCGGTATCTCAGGAATCTGTATGTCGGTTTGCCTAAGCTGAAAAGTGTTTAACGAGATATCTGTTATACAAGGTGTCCTACAATCAAATACTACAGTAGATTCAGGCGTTAGTGTGATTGGAAAGTGTCAAAAGATGGGAAAAAGACAGATTCCATAGAGAAAAGTAAACTATTTTTAACGATACTACACTACACAAAGCAGGTTCTCTGAGACACATGTAAGAATTATTTTAGGTCGTACAAAGTACAATCCATACTTCTCACGGAATTATCTCATCAATTAGATTATGTCCTGTTCAATTCCAGATCTAACGCCATACGAAATATGTTTCACAGTGGCTGAACAAGGTATTGATTCAGTTCTTATTTTATACCATCAGCATGCCATGGATTTAATTCTGAAAAGTGCATTTTTAACAACATCCTCAGAAACTGTGCGAAATGCAAAAGTTGTTTTGACCTTAGTACACTCGTATTACTATAATAGTAATCCAAAGTGTCATAGTCGATTGATAGGCTTGCCCGAAAGATCTCAGGAAAATGGTTATTTATGCCATCCGGATTATTCAGTTGATCGGGGACACAACCTGTATTTTTAACACGCTTTCATAAGCTCGTTTGCTGGCAGATCCAAAACGGCATTTTTGAATGCGTCAACTACTTCTTCTGGTGACTGGAACCTTTGACCACGCAGTCTGTTTTTAATTTTCGGGAAAGTATAGTAATAATTCCACGTTTTCTTCCGTTAAATACTGCCTTGTTTTTTGGGCTGTGTGCGAGCTTGCATTGTCTTGGTGGAGGAATCCGCAGTAACAGTTCTTAGCTGATTAAGAGGAATTGTTGCAATATGACCCGCTTTTGACACAAATGTGGCGACCATCTTTTTCGAAACACTTCGAGAACGGATGGCTTCTGTTGGCTTTTCTTCACCTTGGAACGCCCAAACAGCCGAGTCGTTTATTTTCTGGTTCATAACAGTAAATCCACGATTCATCACCACTAACAATGATGTACATATTTTTTGAGTTTCCGGAATTGAAACGGTCAAGCGTTTTTTGACACCAATTAACCCTGGTTGCTTTCTGCTCTTCAGTCAACAAGTGGGATATACAACGAGAAACTAATTTTCTTACTCCTAATTCTTCATGTAAAATTTTTTGAATTGAAGTCTTTGAGACCTTCAAGGACGCCTCAATCTCGCGATATGTCACATGTCTATCTTCAATGATGAGTTTGCGCACATCATCGACGTTTTCCTGGGTGACTGCCGTTTTTGGTGCACCCACCCTGGGATCGTCGCTAAGACTCACCCGCCACGTTTGGATTCTCCATACCAACGAAAAATCGTCGACTGATGTGGCGCTTCGTTGCCGAAAACAGACAGTAACTCAGCAAGGCATTCTTGTTGCTATAATTGTCTCTGAAAGTTGTAATAAATTATGGCGCGAAAATGTTCTCGGTTGAGTTTTAATTTGATAACAGTTTTCTGCTATAAAAGCGTTTTTTTTTAGTTTTTTTAAAACTATTATTTATTCTTATTAATATTTAAATGTCATAAAAAGCACTTTAGTTTTATTGATATTTCTATCAACACAGTATTTCAAATAACTTTTCTTTTCATTATATATGGTAGTATAAGCTTGATTTTTCATTTGTTTATAATTTTCCCAACTGGCAGCAGTTTTGTTGTTCTTAAATTTACGTAATTTTTAGTTTTTTTAGTTTACCGGAGAAAGTACACCAAGAATATTCAACAGTACTCCATTCAAAAATGGCTCAAAGAGAGTATGTTGTCAACTGGTAAACCCTCACCAACCATTCTGTAATATAGCGTTCTACTAAAAAACAATAAGCATTTGCTTAGCTTTAAAGCAGCTTGTGGGCAATACATGTTAAGATATTAATTTTCAAGAACATTCATCCGAAGACGTGATATGTTAAGTCTGTGATGAAATATCCAGTGCTATGAAGGTAGGTACACTCTCAAGGTTGGGACTGAGAGATGCACCAGATTAGCGCGTTGTAGTCCATCGTAGAGAGATCGAAAGGAGACATTAATTATTTCACTACCCACACAAATTCTCTAGAGCGAAAGAGAGAGAGTCGCTTAATTCGGTTGGATTAATTGATCTTGTCTACAAAAGTGAACAGAGCCAGATTGACTGGCTCTTTGAATAACCGTTTTCCTGGTCAAACACCAAGCTTATTAGGCTAAAACCGAGCCTGTTTTATAAAAATGTAATAACTTGAAAGGTATAACAAAATTTTCTGGGCAACTTATTTTAAACGTTATAGTTAAAAGTCACTTTTTCACGTTAGTTAAAATAGTTGTGAATTATTGGACTAAGTGGTCCAAATAAAGTTCTATGGGAAGACAATACATTAAAATGCGCAACAAAACGAATAATTTGTCATTACGGACATGCCAACTGGGAGGGGCTCAGAGACTTCCTCTCCACGTGTCCTTGGAGAGATGTCTGTTTCGCTGACGAGGATCCGTCGGCTGTTTGTTCGTCGATAACCGAAATTATCTACGTTGGGATGGAGTGAAAGTGCTTAAGCCAGGATCCAACAGCTGGTTCAACAAATCGTGCTAGACTGCTCATCAGCAGAAGATCAAGATAAACATAACCCTCTTACAAAGACCCACTGTAGAGACACAAGAGCCGACGTCGAGTCCAAAGACAAGCAACTTTTTTGAACCCTTGGGGCCAAATTCTACATTTCCTGACAGTCTTGCAGATATGTAATCTTCATAGAACTTTCCGGTCGTAAGATAACCCTTGTATTCGGAGTCTCAAACTATCAACACAGGTTTTCTGCTGGTTCAACAAATCGTGCTACACTGCTCATCAGCAGAAGATCAAGATAAACAGAACCCCCTTACAAAGACCCACTGTAGAGACACAAAAGCCGACGTCGAGTCCAAAGACAAGCAACTTTTTTGAACCCTTGGGGCCAAATTCTACATTTCCTGACAGTCTTGCAGATAATCTTCATAGAACTTTCCGGTCGTAAGATAACCCTTGTATTCGGAGTCTAATACTATCAACACAGGTTTTCTGCAAGGATCGCCAGCAGTTGGTAAATGCTTTCCATTGTTTTTTGATATGACAATTCTTTATACGAGTTTTTAAAGTCTGTCAGTAAACTGAAGAAAAGGAAACCAGTTACGATTTCCCCTCAGGCAAATACTCCAGACTTTTGTTTCTTGGACTCTCTCAATAATAAACGGAATAACAAATGAGTTCGCTAACCGAAATCTAATTTAGAAGTTGTATTTTTTCAAAGGCCCATACCTAAACCATAGTTCTTAATAAATGTAGATCTTAAATTTTTTGAGGATTGCGTCTATAGGTATCATCCAATAAAATTATGAAATCTTACATCATGTAGTTAATATTCTATATTCTCTCTTACTTCTGTCTAAGGACCATGATTATTTGTCTACATAAAAATTTCAAGCGCACGATTACCAAGGTGCCTTTAATGGTATGAAAAATTATAATAGTAGATATTTATCTTCAATATTGCATTATACCTATGTACATATGACAAAAACCATATAAAAATGTGAATTATAGTATAATTTTGTCAGAGACTTCGTCACAGTGGTTATGAAAGATGGGTAATACTGGGATAATTTTATAGAAAGTTCAAGGTCATCGCATCAAGGCGAAGAATGAAAATGTCATTGGCGTATTTATGGGGACTTTGGGATCGTTAACACCCTCGGAATTCCAAAGGCACAGCACGCCTGCTATGGAATTAGTATTTTTAGGATTTTCCTCCATGATATGCAAATAATAAAAATGTCCCATCATCTGATTCCCGCTATTCCAAAAAATTCTCTTCGGATTACCCTTGATACGATCCGTGCCATTTCCGATGTCTATCAGTGATCGCAGATACGTACTTCATATTGTAAAAACTATTGTAAATCCTTTTTGGTCTGAACACACCGATGCGGATCTGTGAATGTGTATCTTTACTGAAATGAATTTGAGACAGCGAAAGAAAGATATTCCGCAGATGTTGTTCTGGATACGTCTATGAAAATGTTCTCTTATGGACCTACGTAGGCTTATGTCCATATTATATAAATTTTAATGAGGAGAACACTGTTGCACTAAAATGGTAAGAGTAATAAAGCACGAAAGCAATATGCAACCATCCATTAGGGTAATAATGACCAAAAACATAAATTTATTAATTAACCTTTATGTAATGGGTGGGCCATTTAAAAGTTTCGATTTAAAAATAAAATAAAACAAAAACGGTTTGAGATATTGCCAAATTTATTTTTTTGTTTTGAAGTACAATTGTTCCGCTCAGAAATGAAATATTACTTCATTCAAATGGCTGCCGCGGCTGGCCTCACAGTAGCCCATTCGATCGGACCAATTTTCGAGCACTTTTTCGAGTGTTTGGGGCCGTATCTCGTCAATGGCATCACGAATGTTGGCCTTCAAATGGTCAATTGTCTCTGGATGGTCGACATAACACTTGTCTTTAACAGCGCCCCACAGGAAATAGTCCAATGGTGTCAAATCGCAGCTTCTTGGCGGCCAATTGACATCACCATTTCGACTGATTAAACGGCCATCGAAGGTTTCGCGCAATAAGTTGATTGTGGCATGCGATGTGTGACAAGTTGCACCATCCTGCTGAAACCAAACATTCTCCACATCAATACCATCAAGAGCAGGAACAAAAAAATCAGTTATCATGGTGCGATAGGTGTTTCCATTGACAGAAACGGTTGCGCCGTCCCCGTCTTCAAAGAAATATGGGCCAATGATGCCTCCGCTCCACAATCCACACCAAACAGTCACTCGCAAGGGATGCATTGGCTTCTCTAAGACCTCGTGTTAGTTTTCCGAGCCCCAGATACGGCAATTTTGCTTATTGACGTAGCCACCAATATGAAAATGAGCTTCGTCTGAAAAGATTATTTTTTTCGCAAAATCGACATCATTGATTAGTTGCTCGTTGGCCCATGTAGCGAAGGCAGAACGAAGTGGATGGTCACGCGGCTTCAACTCTTGAACCAATTGAACTTTGTAAGGCGTCATACCGAGATCTTTCCGCAAAATTCGTCGTAAACTGGTGCGGGAAATGTTCAATTCTTGGGAACGATGACGTGTTGACGTTGATGGATTTTCACGCACACTCGCAGCCACAGCATCGATACCTTCGGGTGTACGCACTGTACGAGCACGCTGACGTGTTGGAGCATCAACAATGAAACCAGTTTCACGCACTTTATTAATAAACTTGCGTATACCGGGCGCTGTTGGTGCTTCGTTGCGACCGAATTTTGAACGGCATTTTCGTGCAATTTCTGCCCAATTGTCTTTGTTTTGGAAATAAATTTCCAATATTACCCAACGTTGCTCAAGCGTAAATCGATTCATTTCGTTCAGCGGAGATAATATACTGAATTTTATGACAAATCAGATTGACATAAGTATTGTCAGCGTCAAATTAACACGTGGTTCAAATCGAAACCGATAGATGGCCCACCCTGTACAAATGTACATCATTAATATGAAATCTTACTACTTCTATTTTATGGCATGCTTTTGATAATGTACAGCTAGGAGCAAAAATAATTGGGTTTAATTCGCCCATACGATGGAACGATGTACTATGACCAGCTGTTTCGTGCTTTTTGGCAACTCATCAGCATGGTCTAGCCTTGGTCTCTGGGACATTGCATTAGATCTATCGAAATAAGCGAAACTGATGGTGCAATTTGTTCAGATTTCTTCGAGTGAGAACAGCGTTCACATCAAACAATATCGCTTTTCTAAATACTATCACACAGACGAGCACCCCAAAACGGTGTCATTAAGTGATTCAACCGACACTGTGCGAGCTAAGAATTGCTGTTGAGTTTTGGTTTAGTGTACACGCAACAAAAAGTTGTACGTATCTTCAATTGATCAATAACATTAACCGTTTTTAACTTTGTCATGGGCGTAGCCAGCGGGTTTTCGGGGTTCAATCCCCCCGAAAAATTCTAAAAAATATGTTTTCTAAACTATTTAAAACTATAATTAAAGGTAAATTTGAACATCTCCGTTGGAGATAGGTATGAGTAGTTCAAGATGCTACATTACCCATTTTTGAAAGAGGAGAGTCGAGGAGTAAAGATGGCTGCCTACGTTACAATATTTAAAATTGAAGCGCGCCCGCCGCCATTATCCGACATCGACTTCAATCTAACCATAATAAAGAAACAGCACAAAAAGCAGTCCAATTGCGATCTTCAAATTATGTGATGTGCTTGGTGATTCTTCAAAAAGTAATGAGCTATATATACATTATCGCTATCTAAACAACTGCAAGCAATTAACACTGACCTAATCACAACATTCAGTTACGTGGACGGTGTTATTAATGATTTGCAATTGTTGAAGACTTATGAAGAAGCCAAGGCTTTGCCAGAAGAAAATGGTGGTACAGTGGGGATGCGCAACGTCGGAAGGCAGTTGAACCGCTCTAACATTTCTGCACTTGATACATGCACTTATACTAAGTGACATATAAATCCGAACACCCAGTTTAAATGGTTTTATTTTAATAAAATTTTGTATAAGTACTTATTGAAGCATAATAAGTAAATGATAAAAATTTCAAAATGATTGCACTGCTTTAAAGCCCTTTGACCTGTAATAATGTGTGGATGCACCCTGATGTGCTACGCATTCTCCAACGCGCCTAGGCATGCTTCTGATCAGGTGGTCAATGTCCTCCTGTGGTATCTCATTCCAGGCAACCACCAACTCCTCTCGAAGTGCTTCTAGAGTCTAAGGAGGACGTTGCAAATTGAGCAATCTCCTACCCATCATATCCCACACGTGCTCAATTGGGGATAAGTCGGGAGATCTTGGTGGCCATGGTAACAATGTGACATCATTATGTTGAAAGAAGTCTATTGTGACTCTTGCAACATGTGGTCGGGCATTATCTTGATGGAAAGTTGGATCTGCCAGGGTGTCAAGATAGGGTAAAAGATGGGGTTCTAGAACTTCGTGGATATAACGCTGCGCGTTCATATTACCTCTGATGAAGATTAAAGGTGATCTGGAACCATAAGCTATAGCACTCCAAACCATAACTCCAACGAATGAGAAGTTTTGGCTTGTTTTCATTCCGGCCACACTGGGTCCTCCCTTTAACTCGAGAACACCGACGTAATCGCCTTGAGTGGTGCAGACAACCGTCACTCTGGGATCAGGAATGGAACAGTATTGTCTTTAGTGACGAGTCTCGATTCTATTTAGGCATGCACGATGGTCGTGCCAGGGTTAGAAGGCGACGTGGTGAAAGGAGGAATCCACAGTTTTTTGTTGAAAGACATGTTCATCACACTGTTGGAGTTATGGTTTGGGGTGCTATAGCTTATGGTTCCAGGTCACCTTTAATCTTCATCAGAGGTAACATGGACGCGCAGCGTTATATCCACGAAGTTCTAGAACCCCATCTTTTACCCTATCTTGACACCCTGGCAGATCCAACTTTCCAACAAGATAATGCCCGACCACATGTTGCAAGAGTCACAATAGACTTCTTTCAACATAATGATGTCACATTGTTACCATGTCCACCAAGATCTCCCGACTTATCCCAAATTGAGCACGTGTGGGATATGATGGGTAGGAGATTGCTCAATTTGCAACGTCCTACTCAGACTCTAGAAGCACTTCGAGAGGAGTTGGTGGTTGCCTGGAATGGGATACCACAGGAGGACATTGACCACCTGATCAGAAGCATGCCTAGGCGCGTTGGAGAATGCGTCGCACATCAGGGTGCATCCACACATTATTAAAGGTCAAAGGGCTTTAAAGCAGTGCAATCATTTTGAAATTTTTATCATTTACTTATTATGCTTCATTAAGTACTTATACAAAATTTTATTAAAATAAAACCATTTTAACTGGGTGTTCGGATTTATATGTCACTTAGTATATAAAAGTCGGCTTATCCACATCAGCGTTTCCAAAAGAAGCTATTGAAAATCTACGAACCGAAGAAGAGCTCGAGAAAGTTGTGGAGGAATTTGGTGTAGGTGAAGAGCTTCAAGAAGAACAAAATGAAGACCAATATATGGACAGTAACCCAGAAACAGATAACATGCAAGAAAATATTACTGAAGATGGAAATATGCAAAATATCAACAATAATTATAGAGAAAACGCGAAAAAAACATACGGACAAACAGAGTAGAGGCAAAACGAAATTTAGAAAATCGAGCAAAGAAAATGAAAGCTTTGTCTAATTCAAAGTTTCCGCCATGTTCTATTGGAGATACAGTGAAAGTGAAAATTCCAGACGTTGATAGAGGGAGGGGTGATTTTAGAAATACTCTCATGACAATAATCGAAAAAACTGACGACGATTTTTATAAGCTAGCAAACAAGAGAGGAAATATCGGGGAGATGTTTTTCAGGAACCAATTTTCTGTGTGTAATGAGAAACTTGTCGATATGGAAAGTGTATCACTGGAGAAGAAAAGTTTACGACAACTTGCAAACGAACAATCTCTTTTAGGAGGTCAAGGTTACAAACGATGCAACTGTAAAACTAAATGCACGACCAATAAGTGTAAATATAAGGCTATTGGAAATCTTTGTAACTCAAAATTTCATAACAGCTTATCTTCTATATCAAATAGATTATAGTATCTATCTTGTACTTTGTTAGGATACAGTTTCAGTGTAACCTTTGATTTTTGAAATCTGTTCTTTCAATAAAATGTGTTTTTAAAACATTTATGGCGTTATTTTTTAACATTAACCACACGAAAGTGGATAGAACGCGGTTTACCCGGGTAAAGTCCGAAACATTCACAATTTCAGTAATATTTTGGACTTTAACCATGTTGTCTGGGTATTGTGCAATTTACCCGGGTAAACCTAAGTTTAATCATTATTTTAACTTTACCCGTAACAGATATACTTAAAAAGAAAAACAGATAATATGATAATAAATTGGATCAAAACTTCGAGGTAGATAACACTGGACAACAAATTTTAGTTTTTTAATTGTATCTTGTGGGAAAAGTGCACTTCTTTGTTAATTTTGGGGCGCTGAATCCAAAATTGACAATGAAATAAAAAAATTAGTTGCGGTTTAGAAAAAAAAACTTTTTATTTTTAAGGATATATTACAAAAAGTAACAAGATTCATATACTTATAAGAATCACTATATGCGCTGTTTTTTTGCTGTTCTTTTATGGATCGTTTCTGGGGCATCTCTACCAAGAGTCCAACAGTAGTCTGCAAGCATGGAAGGATTCCACTTTCCCTGGTACCTTTTTTCCATTGTTGAAATATCCTGATGAAAACGATCGCCGTGCTCATCACTTCCGGCTCCGCAATTGTCAGGAAAAAAGTCAAGGTGTGAGTGTATGAAATGTATCTTAAGAGACATATTACAGCCCATATTTTGATACGATAACAGCATATTTTTGACAAGGGTTTTATAGTTGTCAGCTTTTCTATTTCCCAAGAAATTAGTGACCACCAGACGGCAAATCATTCCAAGCAGTTTTTTCAATACCTGTTAAAGTGTTTTCAAACTGTGTATCTTTCAAAATATTTCGAATCTGTGGCCCAACAAAAATACCTTCTTTAACCTTTGCCTCACTTAGTCTTGGAAATTTCTGACGCAGGTATTGAAAAGCTGACCCATCTCTATCTAATGCCTTGACAACGTTTTTCATTAGGCCCAACTTGATACGCAGTGGTGGTAATAACATTTTTTTCGAATCTACTAATGGCATATGCTGTACATTTTTTTGACCTGGCTCTAGGAATTGACGAACAGGCTAGTTTTGTCTGGTGTAATGAAGTGCCTTTGCCCGACTGTCCCATTCACACAAAAAACAGCAAAACTTTGTGTAGCCTAGCTGCAGCCCAATTAAAAGTGCAACAACTTTCAAATCGCCACAAATATCCCATTTACGCTCATCGTATTTTATGCATGTCAATAGGTACTTCATATTGTCATCTGATTCTTTCATGTGAACTGCATACCCTACAGGAAGAGATGGTAAAATATTTCCAATATGCAATAACACTGCCTTTAAACTCAATGTTGAACTGTCTATAAACAATCTCCATTCTTCTGGGTTATAGTTTATATTTAAAGCCGCCAGTAAGCCGTTAATGTTACTGCAGAAAACCAAGTTATTCTCCATATTGAAAAATGGTTCTAAGTCTTTGTGGCGTTTACGAAAAACACATACCGAAACATCGCCTTCTAACAAGTTCCACTGCTGCAGTCTTGATCCAAGTAACTCTGCCTTACATTTTGGAAGTTATAAATCTCTTACAAGATCATTTAATTCTGACTGTGTTATTTTGAGCGGTTGGTGGCATGACATGCTCGGTATAAAATCAGGATCTCTTGACGTTGATGGCATATCTTCTTCCTGACGAATCACTCGATCGCCATGATCTGATTCGTTTTCTGATTCGCAAGTGTAGGACTCTGGGGATTTTGGAATAGGATTTTCATCACTGTGAGGCACAGGTCTCATCGCAGATGGTATGTTTGGGTAGTTAATAACCGATTTTTTTTTCTTGGACATACCTGAGGCTTGTCCAACACAAGGTACCATGCAAAAGTAACAATCATTAACATGATTTGTAGGCTCTCTCCAAACCATTGTGACAGCAAAGCGCATAGACCGTTTTTTGCCATTTAACCAGCTCCTCAGACTTGAAGCACATGTATTACAGCAGATGTGGGGTGCCCACTGTTTGTCTTGATCACCTAGTTTACAACCGAAATAAAGCTGATATGCCTTTGTTATTAGTAGAGTAATAGACCGTCTCTGAGACGCAAAAGTCACATCACCACACACGTAACAAAACTGATCTGGATTGTTTACACACTTTCGAGACATCTTGCATGAACGCTGTCAGCCAACTGAGGAAAAAACGGCTAATATAAAACAATATAATGTACACGTATGTATAACGTAACACAATCATGCCGATTACATCATCTTTCCTTGCCGAATATAAAAATGTAGCACGTGCATTCTTGTGAATTACAGTATATTAACACTGTCACAGCAGGAACACATATAATTACCGTATCTCTAAAACTTGAACTAATATTGAAAAAATAAGTTTCATTCCGGTTTTAGCACATTAAAAATAGTAATATTTTGTTGATTTTATTTAGGATATTTTTTGGCTGTTGATCAGTGTAATGGGAGGCAAGTGGATGGGACAGCGCGTGCTCCCTGAAATAAATTTTCCTTCTCTTTTTTAATGAATAAGATTGTCATTTGGTGCATATTTTTGTCATTTTATTTCATAGACCCCCTGAAACTGAAGCCTGGCTACGCCCATGAACTTTGTAATTTATATCGGTAGGCCTATATCGGCATGTGATTAGTCATAATATAGGCCGATTTACATATATCTATATCCACCTGAAATATGTTAGTCAGTGCTACCACACTGCGTAGCCACCAGTTTTATTTTCTTATTGAAAAACTTTACAACACTTCAAATTTTGGATGTCTAGTGAGGGTATTTTAATTATTGTAAAATTGCTGAAAAATATTTTTCCACATATTTTAAGCTAGGAGCGTCATAGTAAGTGATCACCGTGTAAATAAATAATTCTTCACACGATTTGACGTAATAATAACAACGAACTAACCAACATCTAGAAATCGTACCTAATTCGTGATTATCATAACTTTTTCATCGTGCCCTTGATATTTAAGCGTCTAAATCGCTCTGATCTCTGCTCTCGTGAACTGCCAGATACCGCACCAGTGTGCTTATTAAATTTCCGTTCTAAATAAATCATCTTCGCCTAATCATTAGCCGGTACTTGCGATTTTTTTTTTCAGTTGTAACCTTTTCATACAGGTTTTTCTCATTCTGATCGCCGGGACGACAAATATACCTGAACTTTATTGACTGCCTATACCTGCCAACATTTCACCTTGATCTGTTATGTATCAGTACGATAACGAGGTAATATTTTAGTTATATCTTGTTACCAAATTTTAATGAATTACTTTCACAAAATGTAAAATTATGACAAAGTAAGGTGAAAGTAGTTATACTATTCGTCATTTGTTTGTCTAGGCCAGAGTTCCCCAAACTTTTTTGTGTCGTAGACCCCTTGCCATGTTTTTCCGTGTTGGGTAGACCCTCTACTTACCTGATATTGATTTCCTGTAAATTTCCAACTGTAGTGAAGTTTAGTGTTAAAAACTTAAAGTAAATACACATGTTAATTTATACATTTATTAATTGAATTTAAATTAAAACTACTCGAAATATTGGGAATAAGTGTCCGCATTGAAAAAAAAAATAAGAGGGATAAAATAAAAAAAAGGTAAAAAAAATAATAAAAAAAAAGTTTTCTACTTAAAATAGTACAATAAGCGAGTTCGTTTATTAATTATAACATAAACGTATGTTCTACAACAATTTCACTGTTAGTTTGATTAAATTCCGCTTCTTATACGTTTAAGTTATCTAAAAATAGGCAAAAAATTAACGAATTTTAGTGTGTACCTATCCTTCAATTTTCAGAATAATTTTTAAAAAAAAATATTTTCTATAAAGGTGGTTCTTTAAAAAAATCAATGCGGGCACTTATTCCCAATGCGGGCGTTTATTGGTCAGACACCAATAAACATAAAATAAACTATAAATAAAATAACATAAGCAATAAGTCAATAGTTTTAGTGAGAAGGATGAATAATAATAATAAATTATCAACATTTGGCGTCAATTTTGTAAGGGTTAATCTTAAATCTCCTCGGCTAATGATGTCCAGTCTGTTTCTTTTTCTCGTTAGGAGATTGGTAACAGCGCTGAACTCCCTTTCCACTAGGTATGACGATGGAAAGGAAATTAAAAATTTCCTCGCTATATTCCATAATACGGGGTAAGTAACGGGTATGTTGTTTTGCAGCCAGAATTGCTGATATCCGTTTTTAAACTGAACCTTAAGTTCTTCGTTGGTACTTAGTTCAGTCAGTTCCTCTTGTATTATGGCATTCGTTTCTTCTATGTCACCATATGGATTAATTATCCACGGTGGTATTACCATAGTCAAAATATCCTCAAACCTAGATTCAAAATCTGAATAGAGGGCATTTAAATGTTGAACGTAAGTTGAAACGTCGTTTTCTTGGCAGCTTGTCTGTGACAAATTGGGGAACTGAGAAAGTTCGCCCCGTCCAATATTTTGCACTGGCAAGAAACGCTGATAAGATGGACTTTGTTTTAATCAAATTTAAACTGTCGCCCTGTAATTGCAAATTAACCATATTAAATTTTGTAAACAGAGCTGTTAAATAGTCTGTTTTCCTCTTCATTAATTTTTCTTTTAAAATTTTATCTTTAGTATCCAGAAATTCTGAAATAGTATCAAAAAGTGCAAAAAATCTTGTCAAACATAACATTTCGACAGCCAGCGTACTTCAGTGTGAAGGAGTAATTGATAAAAGTATTCGTCATTTTCTTCACACAACTGCGCAAATAACCGCGTATTCAACGCGTTGCTTCGGATTCGGTTTACTGCATCAATGACTAAATGAAGTGATTCATGCAATCTAACACTCAAATTTTTAGCAACTAAATGTTGTCGATGGATGACGCAATGTATTGCTAACACCCCTGACACCTTTTGTTTTAAATAACTTATAAATCCACGATAACGTCCAACCATGGCAGGTGCTCCATCTGTAGCTACTGATATTATATTTGATAAAGGAATTGCGTTTTCAATGAAGTTATCCTTCAAAACATGAAATATTGATTCACCTTTAGTGTCGGTTATCAAAGTTCTTGCGAAGAGCTGTTCTTCGTAGATTTCTTGATTCATAATAAAACGAACATATGCCAATAATAATGCTGCATCATCAGGTAAAGTTGACTCGTCCAGTTGTATAGAGAAATGGGTCGTTTTCAAATAATTACATAAGAAGCTTTCAATATCAGAACTCATTTCATCAATACGTCTTTCAACAGTATTGTTGCTTAAGGGAATTCTTTTAATGATATCAGATGCAGGTTTGTGTAAAACAGTTTTTAAAACCTCTTCAACGGCTGGCAAAATTAACTTCTCTCCGATAGTATGCGGTTCTCCGGATTTTGCTATAAGTAACGAGATATTGTAAGACGCCCGCAAACCATCATCATTTCTTTGTGACGTCGATGCGAACATTCTGTCCAGTGTAGGTTTCTTCTGAAATTTATCGTTGAGTGTTTGACAGTATTTCAAATCGTTCTCTGTTTTATCAGGGTGGCATCTTCTCAGATGATCTTGCAGTTTAGATGGTTCCATAGCGTCATTGCCCAAAACTTTGTTGCATAAAAGGCACATAGGCGATTGTTTGTCCGGCAATGATGGAATGAAGCCAAATTTCAAATAATCAACACTGTACTGTCTACATTTCTTTTCAGATTCGGACATGGCATCAGTCATCTGTGGGCAAAATTAAATTATTTAAATAAGGCAGAAAATCCAGCAGCTGTATATTAAAAATATTTTTTGATTTTTCCGAAAATATTCCATAATTCGAACATCTTCTTGGAACAATTAGCTCGAATTACGGAGATTGCACTGTAATTATATTACCGATTGCTAAAACTTTCAAAAAGAAACTACTGAGGAGTACTCGTGTAATTTTGCATGATTGAATATTTAACTACTAATAACTAAAGTCATGTTTGGCGTAATTTATCTGTCTTTGTTAACTACGAGTACAAAACTAAAATTTAATAAAAAATAATGTACTTACTTTTCTCCAGCACTCTCAAACAAAATAACACTGACTCACTATAATTTGTGTGATATACTATCTGTTTATATTTTTTAAAATATTTCTCAGCACTTTCCTTTTCAAGATTCAGGAAACGAATAAACGTATTTGTCCCACATTCGTATTTATAGAGTGATGAATTGAACAAGTCAGTGCAAGGTAGCGAAGCTCTGAGACTGCGACTCTCAGGTTTTTACAAGTTCAAAATGTATTGCGACCACAAATCGAATACCAACATCCTACAACTTACACAATTTTATAAACATATATAATAAATTTTTTACTTCATAGGTACTTTTATAAATAATGTATATGTTTTGATATTATAAGATAGTATGATGTAAGTAAATAGGTACTATCAGTGTATGTGTTGAGATCCACTATCGTGGACCCCCATATTCATTTCATGGATCCCTAAATTTTTTTTCGCTGACGTAGACCCCTTGCAGGTTGTCATAGACCCCTAGGGGTCGATATAGACCACTTTGGGAATCAATGGTCTAGGCGGTCCATACGACCTTTGCCCATTAGTCACTGTCTAATGTACGTTAGTCAAAGAAAAAGAGAAAGGGAAAGAGAAGAAGAATGGAGAAGAGCAAAGAAAAACAGAAGTGTTTAGTTTAAGAGGAGACACCTAGGTTTTTTGACTTGGTACACCGATTAATTTTGAGGTGAACTAAACAAATTTTGATTCGGTTTTGTTAGATTGTAATTTTAAGTTTACTAAAAGTTCGCTCTAATTCTTGATTACAGTGCGAGCCGTGGCCCTGAATGTTTACGAACTTGCTCCAGGGTTGCTGTGCGATTCCGCTTGACTATAACGTCGCTGCGCCTGAAGGTTGACATAATCCCTCATGTAAGGTCTCTGTGTAGTGTCTCGTTTGAGACATACCATGTAGCGGTGCAAATTGTTCGCAAAGTTATACTTTGCAGTACTTGAAGACTTTGCATATGTGTCTTGGCAAGAAAACACCAAGCCGCACATGCATAAGTAATGGCTGTCTTATAATCATTTCATATAGGCGAACTTTGTTTATCAAACTCAATTTGGAGGATCTACATAACAAAGGATATAGTTGCCGAAACGCAATTTGGAATTATCGATGCTGTATGTTTCTGTCAGGTCATGCCTTTATTAAGGGTGACACCGAGGTATTTGGCAGAATTTATCCATGGTACACGATTGTCGTCTACATAGACCTCTGCTGGGGGGCGGTACGTTTTTTGGTACAATAAATAGCCTGCGTCTTCGAATGATTAATTTTAATCAGCCATCGTTCCGCCCACTCTAGTACTTCTTCCACCACACTCTGCAACCCATCGTGAACCAGATACCAGCACACGACAAGTGCAGTGTCGTCAGCATAGATGTAGACTTCACAGTTGCTGGGGCAAGATACATCATGGATAAAAAGCGAATAAAAGATTGGTCCTAGGACCGAACCCTGAGGACACCGGCCCGTACTGGCCGTGTTGTTGACAAAACATTGTTAATTTTGATCCGAAACTTCCTTCCTTCAAAATAGGATTCTAGTAATTTTAGAAGCCAAAATATCGTTCAAATGTTCACCACGACTGGATTTACAGACGTCCACGCGATGGTCGAAATTTTCAATGACATTTTGCAACATGGTCGTTTCTATGCCATTTATCTCGGCAATGATGTTGTTTTTGAGTTCTTGGAGGGTGGCTGGTTTGTTGTTCAAATATCCCCATAACAAGAAGTCCAAGGGAGTCAAATCGCACGATCTTGGTGGCCATGGCACATTTCATCACCGAAGAAGGACTGCAATCGATGGATATTGACGTTGGTTGTGTGGCATGTTGCACCGTCCTGTTGGAAATAAACATCGTCCATATCCATTCCTTCAAGCTGCGGCAAAAAATAGTCCTCTATCATCACGTGATATCTCTCAGAATTGACGGTAATGGCGTCCCCGGCCGCATTTTCGAAAAAGTAAGGTCCGATGACCACAATGCACACCACACAGTCACTTTTTGAGGATGCATCGGCTGCTCTTGATACTCACGGGGATTTTTGTTCACCCAGATGTGGCAGTTTTGCTTGTTTACCGTCCCATTCAAAGTGAAATGCGCTTCGTCGCTGAACATGATTTTTGATGAACAATTGGCATCAATTTGGCGGTGTTCAAGGAGCCAATCTGAGAACGTTCGGCGCGAAAAATGGTCGGCCCGACGCAGCTCTTGTATCAATTGGATCTTGTAGGCGTGTACATTCAAATCCTTGTGGAGAATGCGGAGCAAACTGGTTCTCGAAATGCCCAATTCTTGGGATCGACGCGTTGTTGATTGTTTCGGATCGTCTCTCACACTCTCCTTCACAACAGCAATATTTTCCGGTGTGCGAACGCTCTTTGGCCGGTCAGAGCCTGGCAGATTTGCCACAGAACCTGTTGCCTCGAATTTACGCACCAGACGATCGATGGTTGTTTCGTTTGGGCGGTTGTTGCGACCGAAATGTTCACGAAGCGCGCGAAACGTGTTTTTTATTTTTGCACCATTTTTGTAGTGCTCTTGAATAACTTTAATGCGGTCTTCAATCGAATACGACTCCATAGCGATCAATGGTAAACATTCAACTAACAAAATGACATGTCGGTGACAGAAAACAAAGATGGCGTCTATGTCAAATTGACGTTTACTTTCCTGCGTCCCTATTGGAGAACCCTGTATATTGCTTTGTTGTTGTACGGGACATGTACATCGAAGAAAACCATGTCACCCATTGGCCTCTTCTGTCTGTCTGTCCGTCTCTCTGCTAATCCTTGACTCGTCTAGGACTTGAACACTATCACTCGGATTTTGATGAAATTTTCACACAAGTTCACACAAGGTCGAAAAAACTGTATGGCTAGAAATTCATCAGGTCGTAAAGTGTTGAGTACAAAAAAACATTGATATGATTCAGAGAATTGTCATTTTTTTGTCTTATACTTTGGAAAATATGTACTTAATTTATCCTATAAAAGGCTTCATCTTTATTGACAGATTTATTGTATCAGTTTGTGCAACAGTCTGCAAACCTCTTTAACGATCTCTGCAAAAAACTGGTCTAACGAACAGTGTGTGAGCGAATCCTTTTTCTGATGAACTATTTCATCATCTGCTGACCAACCGATGAAGATTTATAGCAGTACAATGACTACTGTTACCGAAATAATTTGTAACTGCGATACCATCTGACCTAGATGAGCTCTTATTTTGTGCTTTGGACGAAAGCGTTCCTCTCTCTACTACTAGAAAAATGGTGCTTACGCTGCCACTAAGGTTACGAGAACAGTGATGTAACGTGCATTCAATTGAACGAAAAGGCGGATGCTCACGAATAGACGTTAAACGCTGCCCTTGGGCGGTTTTCGGAATGGAAAAATTATCGAGATATAAAATCGCAATGTACGGATTAGTTGAACTTGTAGTAATTTATCTTGTGTCATCCGGAAAATTATTTTTTATTCATATCGCAGGAGCTTTGAAGACGATGAGTTAAAGATTTTATTTTTACTTCCCAGGTGTACTGGTGAAGTCTTCCTAATGTATCCCACATGTGTTCAAAGGGGTTGAGATCCGGACTCCTTGGCGGCCAGTCTAGTACTTGAAGGCTTTCCTTCTCTCAACCTTCGGCGTACGGTATCAGGTGAAACTATGGTACGATGAGCATCATCCATCTTCGAGTCAAAGCTGTAGCTGGAACTGTCCTTTCTCGAAGAGATTGAAGAATCAGAGACCGATCTTCAACTGCGTTTGTTGCTTTGCCTCTTCCCTGCCCAGGTCTTCTTGAGTAAGAACCAGTTTCTCTAATTCTTTGTATCGCATCGAATACCGTACTGCGTGGAGCGGCTAGCCTTTATGCGATATACTGAACAGATACGACCATCATCTTGTAAAACTACAGCTTGCGCTACTTGCTCCGGTGCCACTTTTGTTGCATGCCATAAAAATGCTAACAGACACAGCCTACGTGAAACAATTTCTTACCTGGCAAAACATGCTTGAATAAATTTCTTGTATATGGCTATGATTCGCATGATTTTCTTCGAAACAGTATATATTCTTCAATAATTGAGATATTGACATGAATCAAAAAAAGAACTGCTGAGAAAAGTTGAGGCTTAAAATTCTCATACGAAGACACATTATTCAGTACAGTGGACCCCCGATAATCAGGCCCCTGTCTAATCCGGCGCCCTCTGTAATCCGACATGTCTTTGAATATGTATTACGTACATACGTATTTGACAATCTTCGATAATGTAGATCACACAGGTTTGAACAGGTTACAACTTGTACGCGCCACCGCTAACGTGCCCGACGCGTAATCATTGTTTTACTTTTTTGACTACTGGTGATAGCGGCACGGCCTAGGCGTGCGTTCATTGTTTACTATTTATTCATTGTGCATTAA